AGAGAGAGAGAGAGAGAGAGAGAGAGAGAGATCCCATTATCAGCAACCAGGATCCTCCCCTTGGCCTGGCCACTGGTTCTAGTATTTTCCCACCACCTCTGTGATGGCCTTTCAGCCACTATCTAGGCTGCAGTGGCAGGAGCTGTGACTTGGGGACAGGCCACTCAGGTGCTGCTGTTGGCTCTCTGAGGAGTGGTAAAGATGCACTAGACAGGGCAAAGACCAGGAAGGCGGGGCCCACTGCCAGTTTCCCCTAACATCCTCAAGTTCCAATGGGGACTTCTCTTGGAGACTCCATGAAAGTGGCAACGGTTGCAATTTCAGCCCTGCCATTCGCTGAGATGCGGGAGTCTTCAATAAGCAATGCTTCCCCTACAGTCTGGAGTTCTGCCACCATGACAGCTGGGGCTGTCCGGGATGTCTCATAGCCACTTGGGAGATATTTGAGTTGGTTGCAGCAGGCCTGCAACATGGATCTATCCCAGGTGACTCTGCCTTGCAACCTGCAGATGACTGCACTCCCCTCTGTCATGACTCCACAAGTCCCCGCATAAGTCCATGGCATGCAGGAGACTGCACATATGTGCCTGCTGCTCCTCTGTGTAAGCAGCAGACCGCATACAGCTAGTCCAAGGCCCCCCTTCCATTCTGCTGCACATGGGCTCCAGTAGGCACCCAACTTGCTCAGGTGACCTGGCTGCCTACTTGTGATTAGTATCTTGGGCAGAGCAGGGTGAGTGGATGGCACTAAGAAAGAGCTGGTAACACTGAAGGCCTTTAGCCCAGAAGAACTCTAGAGCTCGATGGAGCAGTGAAGAGCCGAGAGTGGGGAAGGTCTGCAGAGAGCTGCGGAAGAGCCCCAGGAGAGCTAAGGGCCCCAGAAAGTTGCCAAGGAGGTAGAAACTCCTACAGCTGAGAAGCTGAGGGGTAGCTGGGAGCCACCAGGCGCTGCTAGTGCATAAAGCTTAGAGCTGTGACCCTGAGACTGTGCCTCTGGCTCTTGTTAGGCATCTTTTACTCAAACACTTTCCCACACAAATGAGCCACCCTGCCTACATGCACACCTTGGCTCACGGGACTACCTGCAAGGTAGACTTATGGTGGCACGGGCTTTCTGGTGTGTCCTATTCCCAGAGACAGCCTGAACAGTGTGGTGAGCAGGGGTGGAGGTGCAATGAATCGGGTGTTTTAAAATCCACCCCTACCCCTGTGGCATTGCTACCAGGGCCTTTGCTTTCTTCTGTTTTGCCTCTGTCCCTCCCCTAACTTCTGAGTTTTCTGAGCCTTCAATTGGACTTAAGTTCCTTTTGTAAAAGTATTTATGACTCTGTTTCAAAATGATTTTTCCTTGTACATCAAAATATGATCTTTTTAGTTGCTGTTTTTTGTTTAAAGCCATGGTAACGTAATTGAATTACTGTTGGGAGTAGCTGTTTCACAGAACTTTAGAAAACATCGAGCCAAATCTGTTGGACACAGCACTTCATAATGCTGGGATTAAATCCCTTTTGACACATATTTTAATTGCTGAAAGATGGAACTGGGGAAGCAGTCTTGAGAAGTGCTGGCTGGTGTTCCCTTGCCTGCTGCGCAAGCCTGGCCTGGCCAGCTCTGGTGACCAGGAGGCTCTGGCAGTCAGCAAGCTGACCTGGCTGCAACTCTTCATAGGCTCCCCTGTCCCTCTGTGCCTCAGTTTCCCCATACTCTCAGGGACATGCTAGGAATCACCATGGTCCACTGCGTGCAGTTGCCTTGGGAGGAGCTGAGTGAGCCCTTGGTGAGGCTTGAGGATCACAACAGGGTGTCCCCCTCATTTCCTGCTGTGGTTGGAGATGTTTGTCCCTTTGACCCCATGTTGTCACTTAGTTATCTTGGAACAGCATCAAGAGGCGACCGGCTATGGGCCCTGTCCTCTGACTGTGTTCGTGTCACTGTCGAGGGTGGGAGTCATCACTGGTGCTGGGCTCCTTGTCGAAGGCCAGTGATACCCACTCTCTCTACTTCCCTCCTTCATCCCCCTGGCTCTGGTTCTTTTCCATCCTCTCAGCATTCACCATGGGAGACTGAGCCAGAGTCCATTCCCCCATGCCAAAGCCTTGAGTCTCTGTTTAGCAGCCTTCAGAATGTGAGGAAATAGGTCTCTGTCCTCAGCGAATCACCCCGTCTCGGCTCTTTGTTACAACATAGAATATGAGGTGCCTACCTGCCTCATCACACTCTTACCCAAGTGTTCAGCCTTCCATTTGGAACCACAGCCATGCCCATGATCTACTTTGCAAGTTACCTATTATTGATTCAAATTTATTTTATTTAATTTTATTCATTATTTCTTTTTGAGGGACTGGGGCTTGAACCTAGGACCTTCTCATTGAACTATACCCCCAACCCCTTTTTATTTTTATGTCCAGACAAGGTCTTGCTAAGTTGCCCAGGTGGGTCTCACACCTATGATCCTCCTGTTTTAGCTTTCTAAAGAGCTGGGATTATAGGTGTGTGCCACCACCCCTAGCTTTATTTTTTAAATTAGCAAAGAGAGTAGCTTTTGCAGAGGGCAGTATTGCTCTATGAAATCTGCTACTCATATGCATTGACCCACCTTCAGGACAGAGAACCTTCCCTAACCCAGATACCTGGTGCTGCTTTTTTGTAGTTACAGCACCCCTGACCCCTGGCTAGACCTGCTGTAGTGTTCTCCATCACTATAGTCTTGTATTTTCAAGAGTGTTGTAGAAATGGAATCACAGAGTACGTGACCTTTGAGCCTGGCTTCTTTCACTCAGCAGGGGACCTTGAGATGCAGCCGACTCATCATATTAGTGAACTGCCTCTTTCTGTTGTTGAGTAGTGTAGTCTGTCACATAGGTGTACCAGTTTATCCTTCA